TTTCACATTCAAACAAAATATTTTGACTGTTAGCAATAAGTTGATATCAACACGTCTCTTTCATCGATATCTTCAATAGATTATGAATCAAAAAACGTGTTGCATTCACATTGTCAAACAAGCTCTTAAAACTCTTCAACATAACAAGATTATTATCTTCTAACGATAAAATAGATGTAGTCAACACATCATCTAATTTTTCTTGATGTTTCCGGAAGTTTTCACTCTCATCCAATCGATGTACTATTTCATCATTACTTCCCCGAAAAAGATCACCAATAATCTTATATCCAGCATAGATTGCACTACCAGTCAGAAAGGCCTGTATGACTTGCCGCTTTTCACGTCCTCGCATATGAGCTTCAATCAATTCATTTAATCGACGTGCACTACCGTTATCTAAAACTCGACTTCGATAGCGTGTGCAAGCTTGCATAGCAAAAGCCATTGAAGCTGGAAACACATCACACATAAATTGAAATACAGGTATTTCAAGAATAAAATTAACTGTATTTTCTGTTTGAGCATATGTTCCTAAATATGCCCATACCGTATTAGTTTCTTTATGATGAAGAAGACTACTATTTTTTACAGTTTCTAGAAAATGACTTTTTATGCCAAGAGCCAGGCCGACACTAATCGAAACGATCAAAACAGGGAGAAGTTGTTTGAAGTTCATTATGGAGAACAATCTTTTCAAATTACGCAGAAATTTTGAAAATCGACCGTTTTATTTCAGCTAACAATAAACAAAAACTGACACTTCTTCTAAATAAATAGGTGCTAATAGTTACTAACAAAAACTAGAATAGATTAAAGAAAAAAAAAAGAATTGTGATAAATTAAACAATTAACGTATCTCTTTCAATACCTAAAAACGAGCATTGGAAAATATCAAAACAAAGTTACGTTATAGTTAAGAATGAACTGTACCGGAATTATATTATATGCAATCAGTGCGTAAAATTCGTCGATGATAAATAATAAATAAAGAGACGTGTTGATATCAACTTATTGCTAACAGTCAAAATATTTTGTTTGAATGTGAAAAAAAATATTGTCGAATATTGCGAGAGGAAAAAAATGATAAGAAGAGGAATAAAACATTTTTCATTTGTTTACCATTAGACATGCTCATGAGAGACAAGTATAAAAGTGAATAAAAGTAGCCAAAGGCAAAGACATTCATCACACTAAGCGATCAACATCTTCCATATCTGACAAGAAGATAAAGTTGTGTTTATGTGTCAAAAGAGAATGAACATACTTTTTGAAAAAGAAAACAGAATCTGATGTGTATCGCAAAAAATAGTTAATGTACTTTGACACACTTGAAATAAACAAGGGGGCAATATATTTGACGAGCATCATTTTCATACCACACAAAGAACTCTACTACTCATAAAAGTTTCATCTCTATTAAAGTTAATTTTCGTCTAAATACAATTCTTTATTTGAATAATGCGCGTTACATCAATAATATTCATTCAAAAATTAGCAGCAAAAACTCTCATCACATCAACTGATATTTAAAGAGTTTTTTCTTATGCTTCAAATTGCTAAAATATGTCTTCTTCTTTCTTCAAACTTATAAGCACTGATAAATAATAAACACTATTTGAAAAAAAAAATATTCAACATCGTCAATTATATATTGGGAAACATAAAAATTAGGACGACAAAAATAGAAAATAATCTTCTATATGAATACATTTTTATCTTTCGGAGCTATTTTAACGACTACTTTTTTTCGTTCTTTCAAAAAAAAATTGAATTACTGTTATCCATCATAATTACCGTTGTCTAATAGACAAAATATCTGAGCCATACTTAATAGCATATTCTACAATAATCTACATTAATAGATGCCGCTCAAAAACAGCAACAGAAATTAACTTTCTGTTTCATGTTTATTTCGAGTCAATTTGAAATTTGAAATATTAACAATGAATAGATTTTATTTGCATATGAAAAGGTGATATGAGTTGTTAAACAGGTTATTTATATTTCAGCGAAAATATATAAGATGCAGAAATATAAGTTCATAAAAAAGAAAACTAAAATAAGCAATAGAATATCATCGTTTATACATCGTTAAGTATTGGAAAACTTTAAAACTATTTGAATATCTTCTTTTTTTTTCTTTTAATCATTTGAGATATTTTCTACTTCATGTTCTCTCACAATTGATAATCAATTTTTATTCTCCACGACCGACTTAAATATAATTAAATAGAATACTATACACTCATACATATTGATAAATGCAGCCGAATCAACAATAAAAAGCAAAGCTTGTTTTTTTTATTATACTCTAACAACTATTTCCAACTAGAAATAAAAAAACAAAACCATTATAACTGCAAATAATACAAGGTGATTTGAGTTGTTAAACAGGTTATTTATGCTTGTGATAAAATATTTAAGATGATGAATCATAAGTAGACAAAAAAAAGAAAATTAAAATAGGAAATAGAATATCATTGTTTATACATCGATATGTATTGGAAAACTTTAAAACTATTTGAATATCTTCTTTTTTTTCTTTTAATCATTTGAGATATTTTCTACTTCATGTTCTCTCACAATTGATAATCAATTCTTATTCTCCACGACCGACTTAAATATAATTAAATAGAATATTATAAACTCATACGTATTGATAGTTGCAGCCGAATTAACAATAAAAATCAAGGCTTTTTTTTTTTTTTATTATACTCTGACAACTATTTCCAGCTAGAAATAAAAAACAAAACCATTACAATGACAAATAATAGAAGGTGATTTGAGTTGTTAAACAGGTTATTTATGTTTGTGATAAAATATTTAAGATGATGAATCATAAGTAGGCAAAAAAAGAAAACTAAAATAAGAAATAGAATATCATCGTTTATACATCGATATATGTTGAAAAACTTTAAAACTATTTGAGTATCTTTTTTTTCTCTTTTGATCAATTGAGACATTTTTTACTTCATAGTTTTTACTCTCAACGACTTAAATATAATTAAATAGAATATTATACAATCATACGTATTGATAGTTACAGCTGAATCAACAATAAATAGCAAAGCTTTTTTTAATTATACTCTAACAACTGTTTTCAACTAGAAATAAAAAAACAAAACCATTACAATTACAAATAATAGAAGGTGATTTGAGTTGTTAAACAGGTTATTTATGTTTGTGATGAAATATTAAGAATGATGAATCATAAGTTGAGGAATATAGAAATTAGAACACCACACAATACATCATTGTTTATATGTAATGATTAAAATGAGCTAATGATTAACTATATAAATGAAACATAAGAAGTATAGTACAGTATCAATAGAAGCATAATAGCAGTACTTAAGTAATAAAAAATTGAGTGAGTAATGGAAATAATTTCATCAAACGAATGAAAAAGGAAAAAAGCAGAAAGTGATATATAGTACTTGGTAAACAAGTTAAATATTGGCACTTGGCGGTGCACGAGATGAAAGATATTCTTTCTGTAAGTTGTCATATTTATTAGTGTTATACAAGTCACAAATGAGACAAATATAGATCAAAAAGGTCGATTCATTAAAACCTCTAACAATATTTTTATATTGGGCGAGCCAGGCAAAAATCTGTTCACAAATTTCAGTATTTGTATTATTTGCGACTGGATCATTATAAGGATTGGTATTTCGACGACACCAAGGGTCAACATGATTTCGATAGTGTAATTTATCACATAAAATTTTTGCTTTTTCAAATTTTTCTTTCGAGGGAGTACTACGAACAAAGTTATTCGAATTCTCTATGAACAATTTCAAATGACAAGCATCATCATAAATTATAACATCAGGAAAATTTTCTACATTTTGGTACATATATAAAAGAAAGTTGTAGACTTGAGCTATAGATTCGCTTCCAAATAATTCATAAAGACTACAAATAAACCCGCAATTATAGACAGCTGCAATTATACCGGATGTACGATGTAGAACACGCTTATATTGTAATGATTTCAATGTTTTACATCGAAGGCTGAATCTAAGTCCCTGTACTCTTCTTTTTTTTCTGAGATGATGCTTTCGCACGAACTGTGCATTTAAATGTTGTGTNTTCAGATCTCGTTTTAGTTATTGTTGTGTGTATGGTACGATATTCGTTATTTTTTGAGCCCATGCTACTGTATAAATTAGAGTTGTTGTTTCTGTCGTTCTGTTATTTACTTGTCTCAAATTCAAAAGAGGTATGAATAAGTAAATACTTGGATTTTCTTTCTGTGATTCTTGCACAATCAACGAGCAACCAAAATTGCAAAATTACAGTTTCACAATTACCTCTCTTTTCTTTATAAAGGTCTTTCACTATCTATTTACTGATCACCTTTTTCTCTTGTTCTACATTTGAAAGATATTTTCGATGATGGCAAAAGCAGCTGTATCAACTTCAGCTGGTCGCTCTCGGTTCTTCGATCTTATGCATGAAACTGGTGATAAGTTATTGCGAATTAAAGGCTATCAACAATTGGAACAACCTTCATTGGACGAAGCAATCGGTTATATAAAATAACATAAAACATTCAACATCGATGCTCACATTGAAAACAAAGTCTCTTTGACTAAAAACAAATGTTCAGAAGAAAATGATATTAATAATCTTATCGTTGATGAGAGTGCAGCGATACAACTTTATACAATGGAATCAACGACAGAGCAACAAAGTCTTTTTTATGTTATGAATTCTACCCTTCGTCTAGCGTATCGTAGTGAATTAAAACCAATGTTGCTCTACTTAAGACTTTCACTTGGAGTGTTGGAAAAATTACCATAGTTCAATGGTCTTGTCTATCGCGGTGTGAATGATAATATTTCAAGTAGCTTTGTAAAAGGCAAAAATCTAACTTGGTGGGGTTTTAGTTCATGTACACGTTTACTGGATGTATTAAGCAAGGAAGAGTTTCTCGGAAAAAATGGACAAAGAACACTTTTCTACATTGAATGTATTAACGGCAAATTCATTCAGTATTATTCGTATTCTCCCTCGGGTGACGAAGAAGTTCTTCTACTGTCTGGCACTAAGTTACTAGTTAGGGGTAAAAAACGACCAAATCGCGTTTTCACTATTGTTCATCTCAGAGAAATTTCAGCAACGAGTCCTACGCCGAGTGACATCGAAACTGTTGATACTGATGAAATGGCACTGCCGAAAGAAGTCGATTTTCGAGTCGAAGCAAAAGAAAAGACATGTTGACATGACTGCAGTCTATGGGCAACAATACAATGTTGCTATTATTCAGGCTTGTGTTTGTGATGGTAAGATTCATCCAGTAAAAGTCTAACATTTCTCGCTCTTTAGATATGCAACCGCATGAGATTCATGGCTACTATGAGAGATACATTGATGGCATAAGTTTCGCACTCGAAGCTTCGAGAAACGAGTATTACTGTCCAACTTGTAAATTACGCGCGAATCTCTCTTTAACCTTCATGGATCTCCTTATCGTTGAACTTCGTGACGGATGTGACATTCGTATAAACCGAGTACGCCACCGACAGACGAAAAATCAAAATTACCACAAGACGCAAAACTATTACAACGTGTTTTGATTATAGCTACCTTTGTTATATTACTCAACACATTTTTATTTTTTTATCACCTTTTTCAAAGCATTGTAACGAGGTGTGAACACTGATTGCATGTACGTTAGGTGTAAACTTAACCATGTTTGGCGAGGATAAATCAACTATATCTTTGAAACAAGTTTTCGTTGAATTATTCAATATAATCGATCTTAGACAAGGATGTTGAATCAAACTAAATACATTTACTGGAATAGAACAAAACATATATCACGGTACTTCATCAACTGTGCATCTCCGTTCCGCATCGTCAAGCCACTCTGACGAACTTCTATCTTGACCAAATGATAGATAAACGGGAAGATTTGTCGTGTACGCCGCTTTTCTTTCATCAACGAACAATGGCAAACGAGCTATCCATTTTCTTTTCTAGGAAATTTGTTGGAATAGCAAAAACGTTTTCAATACGAGCGTGACCAACAATCTTTGGAAGAATTGAATCAAGATCAATGGATTCATTTCGACCAACTGTGTAATCTGCATCTGCCTCAACAACAAAATTGAAATCATCTTCTTGTAATTCGTATGATATTTCACTTTCATTTACTTGAGCAAAGGAGATGACCTGTTGTGCTAGAAGATTAGGTACAAATTGTGCTAATGAAGCTGAGAAATTCAATGGCAATTTAGATCGAATACGGTTCCATAAAAACTCGTGAACAAATATCCTTTGTTCTGGAGAGAACATCTCTAAATTCAAGTCATGATTAGCAACTCTTGAGAATGCAGATATCATTTGTTCAAAATGCCGACGCATCTCGCTTTTCAAAGAAAACTTTGACCAGCCTGCGAAAGTCTTTTGCTCTTTCAACGACATCTTCAATAGATTATGAATCAAGAACATGTTGCATTCACGCTGTCAGACAAGCTTTTAAAACTCTTCAACATAACAAGATTATTATCTTCTAACAATAAAATAGATGTAGTCAATACATCATCTAATTTTTCTTGATGTTTTCAAAATTTTTCACTCTCATCCAATCGATGCACTATTTCATCATTACTTTCCCGAAAAAGATCACGAATAATCTTATATTCAGCGTAGATTGCAGTACTAGTCAGAATGGTCTGCATGACTTGCCGCTTTTCATGTCCTCGAATATGAGCTTCAATCAATTCATTCAACCGACGTGTACTACCGTTATCGAAAACTCGAGTTCGACAGCGTGTGCAAGCTTGCATAGCAAAAGCCATTGAAGCTGGAAACACATTACACATAAATTGAAATACAGGTATTTCAAGAATAAAAATTAACTGTATTTTCTGTTTGAGCATATATTCCTAAGTATTCCCATACCGTATTAGTTTCTTTATGATGAAGAAGACTACTATTTTTTACAGTTTCTAGAAAATGACTTTTTATGTCAAGAGTCAGATCGACACTAATCGAAACGAGAAAAACAGGGAGAAACTGTTTCAAGTTCATTATGGGGAACAATCTTTTCAAATTACGTAGAAACTTTGATAATCGACCGTTTTATTTCAGCTAACAATTAACAAAAACTGGCACTCCTTCTAAATAAATAGGTGCTAATAGCTACTAGCAAAAAACTAGAAAAGATTAAAGAAAAAAAAAGAATTGTGATTAATTAAACAATTAACGTATCTCTTTCAATACCTAAAAACGAGCATTAGAAAAAATCAAAACACAGTTATGTTATAGTTAAGAATGAACTGTACCGGAAGTATATTATATGCAATCAGTGGGTAAAATTCATCGACGATAAATAATAAATAAAGAGACGTGTTGAGATCAACTTATTGCTCTAGCAGTCAAAATTTTTTGTTTCAATGTGGAAAAAAAATATTGTTGAATATTGAGAGAGAAAAAAGGATAAAAAGAGGAATAAAACATTTTTCATTTGTTTATCATTGGACATGCTCATGAGAGATAAGCATAAAAGTGAATAAAAGTAGCCGTAGAAAAAGACATTCATTGCACTAAGCTATCAACATCTTCCATATTTGACAAGAAGATAAAGTTGTGGTCATGTGCCAAAAGAGAATGAACATACTTTTGAAAAAGAAAGCTGAATCAGATGTTTATCACAAAAAAATGGTTAATGTACGTTAACACTCTTGAAATAAACAAGAAAGGCAATCTATTTGACGAGCATCGTTTTCATACCACACAAAGAACTCTACTACTCATAAAAGTTTCACCTTTATTAAAGTTAATTTTCGTCTAAATACAATTCTTCATTTGGATTGTGCGCCTTACATCAATAGTATTCATTTAAAAATTAGCAGAAAAAACTCTAATCACACTAACTGACATTTAAAGAGTTTTTTTTCTTATGCTTCAAATTGCTAAAATGTCTTGTTCTTTCCTCAAACTTATAAGCGCTGGTAAATAATAAACACTATTTAAAAAAAATATTTAACACCGTCAATCATCTATTGAGAAACATAATAATTAAGACGACAACGATAGAAAATAATGTTTCATATGAATATATTTGTGCCTTTCGGAACTATTCTAACGACTACTTTTTTTAGTTCTTTCAAAAAAAAATTCTCATTACTGTTATCCATCATAATTACCATTGTCTAGCTGACAAAATATCTGAACCATACTTAATAACATATTCTACAATAATCTACATCGATAGCTGCGCTGAAACAAGAATACAAATTAATTTTCTGTTTCATATATACTTCGAGCCAATTTTCAATTCGAAATACAGACAATGAATCGATTTTATTTGCATATGAAAAGGTGATATGAGTTGTTAAACAGGTTATTTATATTTCAGCGAAAATATATAAGATCGCGAAATATAAGTTCACAAGAAAGAAAAAATCAAATAAGAAATAGAATATAATCGATTAAACATCGATATGTATTGGAAAACTTTCAAACTATTTGAATATCTTCTTTTTTATTCTTTTAATCATTTGAGACATTTTCTATTTCATGTTCTCTCACAATTGATAATCGATTTTTACTCTCAACGACTTAAGTATAGTTACATAGAATATTATACACTCATACGTATTGATAGTTGCAGCTGAATCAACAATAAGTAATAAAGTTTTTTTTTCTTTTTATTATACTCTAAAAACTATTTCCAACTACAAAGATAAAATCAGAACCATTACAATTGCAAATAAAAAAAGATGATTTAAGTTGCTAAGAAGGTTATTTATCTTTGAGATATAATATTTAAAATGATGAATCATAAGTTGAGGAGTATAGAAATTAGAACACAACACAATACATCATCGTTTATATGTAATCATTGAAATGAGCTAATTATTAACTATATAAATGAAAGATAAGAAGTACCCCATGTCGCCACTTTTTGACGACTGCGTCGCAGTTTGATCGTAATGAAACATATGGGATAGCACAGTATAAATAGAAGCAGAGCATGAGCACTCAAGTAATAAAAAAATGAATAAGTAATGGAAATGATTTCATCAAACGAGTGAAACAAGGAAAAAAAGCAGAAAATGATACATGTTACTTGTTAAATAAATAAAGTATTGTCACTTGGCGATGCACTAGATGAACGATATTCTTTCTGTAAGTTGTCATATTTATTAGTGTTATACAAGTCACAAATGAGACAAATATAGATCAAAAAGGCCGATTCATTAAAATCTCTAACAACATTTTTATATTGAACGAGCCAGGCAAAAATCTGTTCACAAATTTCAGTATTTGTATCATTTGCCACTGGACCATTGTAAGGATTAGTATTTCGGCGACACCAAGGGTCAACATGATTTCGATAATGTAGTTTATCACATAAAATTTTCGCTTTTTCTAATTTTTCTTTCACGGACGTACTACGAACATAGTTATTCGAATTCTCTATGAATAATTGCAAATGACAAGCATCATCATAAATTAAAACGTCAGGAAAATTTTCTACGTTTTGGTACATATATAAAAGAAAGTTACAGACTTGAGCTATAGATTCACTTCCAAACAATTCATAAAGACTACAAATAAACCTGCAAGTATGGACAGCTGCAATTATATCGGATGTACGATGTAAAACACGCTTATATTGTAATGATTTCAATGTTTTACATCGAAGGCCGAATCTAAGTCCCTGTAGTCTTCTTTTTTTCTGTGATAATGCTTTCGAAGGAAGCGTGGATTTAAATGTCGTGTTGTAGTACTTTTACTTTCGTTTGTCAGTAAATGCTCCCCACATTTTTTATTTTTAATACTGGTGTAGCTGAACATCCCACTTTAACATTACGAATAGCTCCGTCAACACTAGGAACAAATATATTTTTGATCGAGCAAACTCTTCTTATAACTTTTTGATGTCCATCTAGAACAATCGTAGCACTACATGGTCCTGTGCAAAACACATGATGATCTCTTTTACTCCATTTCTTAGTGAACGATTGTTTAAGAAATGATAATAAGTCGAGAAGCATTGTATGCAAATCCTGTTCATCTGGAACAGGCATTCGAAAACTTTCTTGTTCGCAAAAACGACCAAGCTGCCAAACGAACCATGTTTTCTGAAGATGGAAACGGCTCATCATCTCTCCCTCTTTTTTTCAAACTTAAAATTCAAATACTTGAAAGCATTAACTAAATTAGAAAAACCACAATGTTTGAACAAAATATCGGCATCAATTTGTATGAGCCAACGCTTTTCATATCCATAGTTGGAAAAAACAACAAAAATTTCATCATCAGAATGTATAGTTAGCATTTTCTGCCCATCGAGTCGAAGGTAATAGTTGGAAAAATATTTATAATTGCATCTAGAGCGTTTCTTTAAAAAAATTGTTCCTTTTTTGATCTTTCACCTGAGCAAAAAATAGTAACGTCATGATGAGAAATTGGATTACTCAGTCTGTTTTTTGAGCAATTAGGATTTATACATTGAATGAGTAAAGGTATAAATCAACTCAGAAGAGATGATGAAGAATGTTCATATTGAGTAGAGCATTAACTATTTATTTCATTTTCGATTTCTTCAGAAGATTTGCCTCCTATATTATCTTTATGCTTAGGTAAAATCAGTTCCCAATTTTCAAGACGAACTCGTATTTCTTCAGGTGAAAATTTCGTTTTAAAAATTCGATTTAATATAGATGTGACATGGTGAATACGACGAGGGACAAATTTATTTATTCTAAGATTAAGTTGTTGAGGGTACTAGTCATTTCCATTGAGGTAAGTGGATATAAAAGATTTTTTTAAATCGTTGTTCAATGAACAAGCCATATATAAAATGATGAACCTTTTTTCTCTTACTTTTCCAATCTCTTATGTGAAGCTGAGACAACGAATATTATTTGAAAAACTATGAAAAACTCAATTGTTTTTTTCTGCTTTTTTAGTTATTTCATTCGTTTGAAGAACACAGATTGATGTGTGTATACAAATCAGATGATCAAAATGAGATAGTGGAAACGATTATGAGAAACATTAATAGTTTGAAATAAGAAGAAACAGAAAAAGAAAGCAATGACTCAATGACACAAAAATGACAAGAGAAGATAGAAAAGTTAATATGTTTGGTTGAAGAAGTGCTAAGAGAAATAATCTGATCTTGATAAGGAGAAAGAGAAAAATCTAATATAGAATGTCTTATATTACTTACAAAATTTAAATTCCAATTTGCATCTATATATTGCATAATAAGTATTGATTGAAATATATTTTAAATAAGTCACAATACATCAGGAAAAGCATTCATTATATGTTGA